AAATTAGAGAACAAAGCAAAGCAAAACCTAAATTAAATTAAAGAAAAAAGGTCAAAAATAATTTGATTTCCGATGAACTCAGGGCCGTCGCTGGACCAGGGCAGGTGGGGCAACCGCCCTGGGCCTAATATTGTAATGCTCTGTTTTTGTTATTAAAGGGCCTCCAAAAAAAAAGTGAACCTTTGATCTCCATATGATTAGATTAACAATTTCCATAATGATAAAAAAATAAAATAAAAAACTTCAAATCTTCAATTCCCTTGATTTTCGTTCCCAATATTTAGTTTTTTCCTAACTATGCTCTAAGACATCAATTACATCCCACTGAGACTTTTCCAATACCCAAAATTTAATTTTTTTTCTATAAAAAAATCCCTAATAAAATCAATAAACAATGATATTTTACGCTAGGGCATATTACTAGTTATATTTATATCTATGCATCATTTGAAGTCCATAATTCACCTATATAATTTGTTTATTTATTTATTTTTCTTCTTACAATATTTACTTAAAATCTGTATATTTGAGTGCTACCATAACAATCTGAATTTTTGATAAAAGTATCACATCTTTGATTATCTTTCACCGAATTGATGTGACATTGTTTAATTTTGTAAGGTTTGTGTCAATCTTTATTATTTCTTTCATTTTTGAATTTTTATATCTGAAATTTTCATTTATAAAAACAAAATAAGATAAATTGGTATGAGAATTTTGATAAATTAACTACTTATCACTTTATCAGAGTGACAGAGTTATCAGTATCGTAAAGTCCGTAATACATTTTTTATTTTTCAAAATTTGATTTGAGAATTTGGAGTTAAAATTGGGTGAAATCATACATTTTGCATACCCAACTCAAATATTTTTAATACTTACATAGGGCCTCAATTAATATGTCCGCCCTAGGCCACCAAAATCTCAGAAACGGGCCTGGATGAACTAGACTACTTTTGGCCTAGAGAAAAGAGAGAGAAGAGGGAGAAATACTATGATTTTTTTTAACAAATACAAATACTTCGTATTTGGTTTCTTACTTCCTTGGATATTTTTGGGCTATAATAGACTTTTGGGAATTAAAAGACTTTATAAATGAGTTTACGCCTTAAAACCTCAATAATTTAGAAATCAAGAAAAAAAAAAACCCAAAACTTTGACTAATTGTGTGCCTCAAAGCCCCAAATTGTAATTGACTAATTGGAAACAAATTACAAAGTTTGACTTTTTTTTTGACAAAAAAGTTTGACTTTATAGCAATCACACGCTGATATTGGTGGATAGGATTTTTTTGTTTCTGCTTTTTAGAGTCACTATATTATATACAAAATTTCAAATTGATATATCATGAGTAAGAATTAGTTTAACATAGATTTGTAAACTTTTTTACTTAATATAGTACAAACATAAATGTCATACTAGTATTATTTCGAAAATAGTTTGTTTTTTTTTAATTTTTTTTTATCCAAATTATTTCGAAAATAGTTCATGGGTCTATCAATTTTATTTTTTAACTCGGTCATAAGGTCTATAAATTACTCCAAAGAAGTATATTTTAAAAATAGAAAATAAAAATGTATTTTGTAGTTTTTATTTTCAATAGAATGTCGGCCAACACCCCATACACCTTAATAGCGTTTTTATCGCTTACAAAAGTTTAAGGATTAGGTCCTTGTAGCTTGTTAGACTAATCTTCAGCCTTTTGTTGTGATATCAAATGCCACTCTCTCGCTATTAGAATTAAATCGATTTTATATTATTAGACTGAATTCAATATACAAATTAAAGTTAGCTTTTATTAGAATAGAATTTAAAGATTGAGTCACATATATATTTTATATATATCATGTACTAGCTATAAACCGTATTCAATTCAACATTTGTAGAGAGCATATACGAGAATACTCAAATTAAAGTCTAACATACAACAATTTTAATGTAATCCAAACTGAATTGACCTGATCTGAACCTATTGTACGAAGAAGTAACGAAGAACCATTGATAATACAAGAATATTGTACACCATACCATATGGAATCCAATTCAATCAAAGCTGCACCCCACATACTCAAATGGCACTCACAAAAATTCCTTCTTACTTCCAGAATCTAATTTCAAACCCAAATACTCTTATCAATTTACAAAATCCCTCCAATATAAATCCAAAAACCCAAATCCTTTTCTTTGTCCAACATACAATCTTCAATATGTATCTCCGATCCATAAAATAGTTGCATTAAAATATCAAATTTTCTTGATTCAAGACAATGAAGGCATTTCACCCGATCAACAACGCCGGAAAGCATTTGGAAGATAGAAGAACACTTTCAGACTACCATATTCAGAAGGAATCCATTTGTTGCTCCAAACTTGATTGTTTTATGCTGTAATACAGCTTGATATGTAAAATAGTACATTAGTACGTATCGTTTTTAGTGTTTAGAGAACCACAAGGACAGAGATGAAAATTGATCCAAGCATTTCCTGAAATTGGGAGGGAGACTGTAACCACTTGAGCTATCCCCCACTCCCTGGTTGTATCTTTTATGTATATCTATATGTTATATGCAACCGGATATATAAAAGGACAATAACCTCCTATTGTGATTTAATTGTGTTATACTAATACTACCTCCATTGCACGATATAAAACTTACCGGACACAGACAGGACGACTGCTAAATAGTATCCCCGTCTATTTAATTGCCGGAGGTGCTAATATTGTTCGTGATCACATGAGAATTTGCCAATTTGGTATTTACACAGCCTTTTATGGCAAAATAAGGGTTGTTGCTACATGCATTAAGTTAGCATGGAGAGGTGGAATTCTGGCACATTTTACTTGGAATATTTTGTATCTAGGAGGACAATTGGGCTGTAACAGCATTATTTGTTGGGCTTTATAAACTGGACTGACGAGTCTAGAATGCTCGAGGCTCGGCTATTTAACAACCAGGATAAACCCAAAAAGTATGAAAACTAGTTTTGTATTGGACCAGACACTTAAAAGTAGAGGGAATTATTAGGGAAGGGTCTTACACAACTACACCTGAACACCCTTTCTTGATAGGATTTAAACCCTAGACCTATAGGATCTAAAGTAAGAAACTTATCATATGAGTCGATACTTTGTTGATAATATTCTATGCTATTGGACTTTGGTTGAGAAAAATACAGTACAAACTTTAATGTTATACGTTTATACTCTAAAAGAATTTGTACTCCATATTAAATATTACTATATGTACAAAATACACGAGTAATATTTAGGAAAAATTGCTCCCATTAATCTGAACTTTGCCTCGTCCGCCGAAATTAATCTCAACTTTCGTTTATTATCTATTGCACTGAACTTTGGGGGGTATTAATTTCTATTGCACCCAAATGACTTGAAACCGGTTGAAGAGGTAAATTTTGCTGACTTGTGATTAATTGCACACGTGTCGCAACCAGATTGGTTCAAAAGTAAAAAAAATAAAATATCAAAACTTAAAAATTAACTAAAAAAACAAAACCATCCCGTTTCCCCCGGAGCACCGGCCATCCCCGTTTTCCCCCGAGCACCGGCCACCAAAGCAGCAACCGGAAAACAGAGGGGAAGGGCGAAAATCGAAGGGTAAAGCTCCAGAATGGCCAACGAGAAGAAGTCGATCGAGGTCGGAAATCGAAGAGGAAGGGGGTGGATGGAAACGAAGGGGAAGAGGGCGGAATCGGAGGGAGGAAGGGAGGAAGGGAGGAAGGGGGTGATCTGAGGAAGGGGACGAATCGGAGGGGGCGGAAACGACCACTCTCCTGCCGGAAAACGGAAGCTGCTCGGGAGGGGTTTTCGAGGGGGATAAGGGGTTTTCGAGGGTGGCTGGGCTGCTGGGGAGGGGTTTTCGGGGGTGGGGAAAGGGAAGGGGTGGCTGGGCGGCGGTTTCCGGCGGCGGGGGAGGGGTTTTCGAGGGGGATAAGGGGTTTTCGAGGGTGGCTGGGCTGCTGGGGAGGGGTTTTCGGGGGTGGGGAAAGGGAAGGGGTGGCTGGGCGGCGGTTTCCGGCGGCGGGGGAGGGGTTTTCGGGGGTGGGCGCGACTTTCCGGCGAGGTTAGGGGTGGTGATGTAGTGTTTTCCGGGATAGGGGTGGGGGGTTGGGTTTGGCAGGTTTTTTTTTAAAATTTTTTTTTTGTTTTTTTTTCTTTTTTTTTAAAATTTTTTGTTTTTGACCTATCACGTGTTAACACGTGTCTAGGTAACCTGCTACATCAGGTTGGATGACCTGTTGGGTGCAATAGAAATTAATACCCCCTAAAGTTCGGTGCAATAGATAATAAACGAAAGTTGGGATTAATTTCGACGGACGAGGCAAAGTTCAGATTAATGGGAGCAATTTTTCCTAATATTTAATACTGACTATATTGTATAACAACTTCATTTATGTTAACCAATTTACCTTTACTAAACTACAAAAAAGTCCGAGGCTCCTGCATCTTACTAGGCACACTCAAACCTCTTTTTTTTTTTTGGGGGGGGGGGGGGTTTAGATTTCAAATGATACACTCTCGTAATTAAAATACAATATACTTTATAATTATTATAATTATATTATTTTCAATATATAAAATTAAAAAAATTATGGAGTATTAGATTTGGGGTTGAATTGGATGACATTACTTCTTAAATTTTCCTTTAATTACAAAGTTAGATTTTTACATTGCCTAAGGTGTAACTGCTACTGAACCATTGATATTTTAAGCAACAAATTCACTCCATAATATTTCAATATATAAATTAGTTTAAAGACAACTGTCGATTTTGACAGATTTTAGTCAATCTTTCCAATCAAAAGAGAACCGAGGAAATATAGTATAAAATCCTTATTCAACATAGTATATATATAGTGTATATGCGCGAATCAAATTCCTTCCAAAAAAAAAAAACTATCTTAGTCGAACCCAAACCGACCTCATCCGAACCAAATACGAAGAACCTTTGACCAACCCTATATATACAAAAAAAATAAATTGTACACACCATACCGAATCCAATTCGATCAAAGCTGCACCGCACATAGTCGCATCCAATTCCGAACCCAATTAGTCTTCTCAATTCACAACTATAAATCCAACCCTACTTCACCTCTTCTTCTTCGTCCAACACTCAATTCAATTCAATTTTCTCTCTCCTCCATTAAAACTCCTCAAAGATGCAGATTTTCGTGAAAACCCTAACTGGGAAAACCATAACCCTAGAAGTCGAATCATCGGACACAATCGACAATGTCAAAACCAAGATCCAAGACAAAGAAGGCATCCCACCAGATCAACAACGCTTAATCTTTGCTGGGAAACAATTGGAAGATGGAAGAACACTTGCAGATTACAAAATTCAGAAGGAATCGACGCTTCATCTGGTGCTTCGACTTCGTGGGGGTACCATGATTAAGGTCAAAACCCTAACTGGGAAAGAAATTGAGATTGATATTGAGCCTAATGATACGATTGATCGGATTAAGGAGCGTGTTGAAGAGAAAGAAGGGATTCCTCCTGTTCAACAGAGGTTGATTTATGCTGGGAAACAGCTTGCTGATGATAAGACTGCTAAGGATTATAATATTGAAGGTGGTTCTGTTCTTCATCTTGTTCTTGCGCTCAGAGGTGGTGGTTTGATTGCTTAATTTTGTGTTTAAGGATGAATTTATGTGAAGTTTCTGGGATTTTTTTAGGGTTTTAATGATGTTATTGTGGTGAAATACTGTTAAAAAATTCTGGGAATTTGACCTGCTTCGGCTTATCTAATGGTTTAATGTGTTTATTATTAGTTCAATTTTGTTATAGTTGATGTTTATTGCTTTAATCTTGTTGATTTGGTATATTTATAGTTTATGTTTATTTGCTTTAATCTTGTTAATTGGGATTTAAAGTGGGTTTGTTGGGATTTGGAAGTTTGCGTTTGTATATGTATAGTGAGATTATATATTTATACTGTGGGATATTCAATTAGGGATGTTTTGTTATGTTATGTTGTATTGATAAGATGCTGAAGCCGTCTGCGAATCTGTTTCGATTGTGATTGTGTATGTATGGTGAGTTATGCAACGGCTAACAGGGGATAAGGGTAGAAAGAGGGAGGAAAGATTATCTACCTTAGGTTTCATTTGTATTTGTCGATGGTAACGATTTATGTATCGGAATTTACCTTAAGCTTGATGATTTGTGTATTTGGTGTAATAGTTGAGCCTTCAGTGAGATCGAAGGCTATATTACTCCTATTCTGGAGGTTTTGTCTTAGTAAAATCATACAGATTGAGCTGCTAAACACGGAGTAATATAGATATTGGTGAATTTTGAGTTTGGTATAAGAAGGGAGTCATAGGGTCAGCCAGCAAGCTATGAATTATAAGGTTTATATCGATCTTGCATTCTTGTGTGATTGGTTTCATTCGGCTTATTTAATGGTTTAATGTGTTAATTTTGATGGGATATAATTCAATTTTGTTTATTCGTAGTTGTTTGATTTGATCGTCTGAAATTGTGTTTGATTGGATGTAGCTAAGTTAGTTGGCTTTGAAGCCGTCTTTGGTGTGTGTTTGTTTGTAGGATAGAAAGAAGGGGCAGAGACTTGTCAATGGTAATGAATGAATAAGTTGGCTTTGATGCCGTATTTAGTGTTTGTGTGTTTGTGTGTGTGTGTGTTTGTAGGGTGAGATCGGCGACATGGGATTAGGATAGAAAGAGGGGGCAGAGGGGTATTGGAATTGTTGTTGGTAACGATTAAGGAGATGCTTAAGGTGCTCTGTAGGTCCATCTGATAGACTTCAGGACATTCTTTATGGACTTGTCGATGGTAAATTAGTTATGGATATCTAGGAATCCACCCTAAGCTTTGTATTTGCGTGTTTGGTGTAACAGTTGAGCCTATTCAGTGAGATTGAAGGAAGCTACTGCCCTGATTCTGGTAATTTTGTTTTTCCTTAGTTTGATTCCAATTGAGACTGCTAAACATGGAGCAAAATAGAGGTGAATTATGCAGTTGGTGTAAAAAGGTAGTTGTTACTCTTCTAGGTCAGTTTATAGCTATGAATTAGATAGTTTCTAATGATCTTGTGTGATTGCTAATGCCACCAGGCACCAGGAATAGCGGACATTTTTCAAAGAATTCTTTAGGTGAACTGTGAATATGAAATGCAGTAAGGACTTGTTGATTTAGTTGTGTTTCTTGAAGTATTATATCATTCACTTCAGTAAGGACTCATAGTTGATTCATATGCAATTTGATACCTGGTCTTTGGCTCTTGTGAACATAAGCCAGGATATTCACATACTTGAAACTGTAAATCAACAAATTTGTTATTAGGCTAAGTCAAACTAGTTTGCTGGTTGTAGCACTTAACAAGTATACCACCAATCTTTGCCAAACATGGTTTGTGCAAATAAGATTACCATTGAGTTATGGTATCAAACTTGAAAACTAGAGCTATGAAGTCTTACAGTAAGCAGCTTGGTGGCAATTTTCTAATTTTTGTTGCTCAGTTGAAGATTTTTTTTTTTTTTTTTTCTTTTGCTTGTGAAAAACAAATGATCCTTATTTATGCTATATTGATGAATATGATGATTATTTTGTTGAGCTTGGTTCAACAAGAGATGGGCTAGCAATCCTGCTCGACCACCCTCAAGGCCTCAACTAGGTCGCTCTGATCCTGTATGAGACTATGAGCTTTAGTCGTGATTCTGTGATATGTGATTGAATTGAGATTTTTTTTCCTGCATTCCATGGCATTAGTTGCTCAAGAGCCAGTTCAATGTCTTCTCTCTTTTGCTTTACCAGGCACTTTCGGTAAACAGCACACTCCAATTTAGGGTACCACGGCCTGTTCATGTCAATAATTTAATATACTTCAATGTTTCCTCATCTTCTTCAATAGACGAAGGATGGGATAAGGAATGGAGAGTGGGCTGGGTTAGAATTGGCCCACCCCCAATCACGGCCCATCTTGAAACAGCTCGGCTGCCATTGGATTTGGATAACTGGGCTTGGTCTCTCAAAAGTTTGGCTTGGATAACATCCAGGTTCCACCACCGGTAGGCCTCGAGGCCCATCATTAATTGGTATACAATGGGAAAGAGGGAAGTTTGGCCCTCGATCCTCTGCAATTGTTAACATATTTGGTAATCAGCAATCCTCTTTTGTTTTTTTAGACAACAGTTATCAATAGAGTTGTCAATTTGGGTCAACCGTTTGGATTTGGGTCGGGTAAGAGTGGGTCGAGTCAACTCGGGTCGGATCAATTCAGATTAATTCCATGGCCTATGGGGGTTGGGTTTGGGCTGGGTTATGCTTGAGTTGAGTCACGTCGGGTCATACTTATCGGGTTTAGGTCGGGTTAATAATAGGTCGGGTTAGATTCGGGTCGGGTGAACAATAGGTCGGGTTTAATCCCTAGGAGGAGACCGATGATCGGTCCTACACGGGTTTTCACGGGTTAAAACGGGCTAGGGTAATTCTTGGGTTCGGTTCAAGTCAATAATTTGCAGGTTAGAATCAGGTCGGATCATTCTCGGGTTTGAGTCGGGTTCATTTCAAGTCAATAATTTGCGGATTGTAATTAGGTAGGGTCATTTTCAAGGGGTCATTCTCGAGTTCAAGTCGGGTTTGGTTCAAATCAATACGGTCATTCTCTGATTCAAGTCGGGTTATGTTCAAGTCAATAATTTCCAAGTTACAATCAGGTTGGGTCATTTCCAAGTCGGGTCATATTCGGATTCAACTATAAATAGATAATTATCATTTTTATCAAGCTAATTATTCCTTTGGCTATAATATATATGACAATATACTAGGGAACTATTTAGTAAGATAATTATCCCCTTTGACCATACAACAAATATATACAACTACTATATTTAACTCTTAAATTTAAGGATGATGCTCCTTTCTTTTGCTGGCCTGGACCGACTTGGTCTTCTTAGACAAAGTGCTTTGATCAACAATAATAAGGTGGTCTAAATTGCATTTAACGTGATTTGAAATCGGGTCAGGAACAATTTGGGTTAAATTTAGGTCAGGTCAATAACAAGTCGGGTTAGTAACATATCGGGTTGAATTTTTGGGTCGGGTAAGTAATAGGTATATTAAAATTTGGGTAAGGTCAATAACAAGTCGAATTGAATTTGGGCCAGGTTAATAACAAATCGGGTTGATTTCTGGTCGGGTTTGTAACAGGTTGGGTTAAACTCGGGTCGGGTTAGGAACGGGTCGGGCTGAATTCAGGTCAGGTTAGTAACAAGTCGGGTTAAATTCGGGTTTTGACGGGTTAGGGTCAATTTCGGTTCAAGTCGTGTTCGGTGCAAGTTAATTAAATTGGTCGTTGAAAACCGGTAAATCGGTGCAAGTTGTAAACCAGTAAATTGGTCGTTTAACAGCAAATTGGATGGTTCCACACACCCAATTGGACTCCCGGAATGTATTAGGGACAATGGTAAACATTTCAGCAATTTTTATTTCCGGGCGAAAAAAGTCAAAAAATTCCAAAATTAAAGGCTATTATCCACGTTTTTTGAAAATTTTCGGAGGTTTCGGAAACCAGTGTAGAAAAGTCTTGATATTTGAGGGGATACTTCTCGGGGTCATATAATGCCGTTTGGAACCATATATGATCATTATATGTTGTCATAAATGTTCGTAGTATGCTTGAGTTAATGAAATCCATGCAAGTTGTAAACCGGTAAATTAGTCGTTTAAAGGCAAATTGGATGGTTCCACCAACTCAATTGAACTCCCGAATAATATTAGGGACCATGGTAAACATTTCGGAATTTTTTTTTTCGGGCGAAAAAAAAGTCAAAAAATTACAAAATTGAAGACTTATATCCACGCTTTTTGAGAAATTTTGAAGGTTTCGGGGCTCGGTTTTGAAAAGTCTTGAAATTTTTGGGGATACATCTCGGGGTCATATAATTCCGTTTGGAACCATATATGATCATTATTTGTTGTCATAAATGTTCGTGGTAGGCTTGAGTTAGTGAAATCGGTGCAATTTGTAAACTTGTAAATTGGTCGTTTAAAGGCAAATTGGATGGTTCCACCCACCCAATTGGAATACCGGAGGGTATTAAGGACCATGGTAAACATTTCAGCAATTTTTATTTTCGGGCGAAAATAAGTCAAAAATTAAAGGTTAATGTCCACGTTTTTTGAGCAATTTTAGAGGTTTCGAGGCCCGGTGTCGAAAAGTCTTGAGATTTTGGGGAATACGTATGGGGTCATATAATGCCGTTTGGAACCATATATGATCATTATATGCTGTCATCGATTTTCGTGGTAGGCTTGAGTAAATGAAATCGGTGAAAGTTGTAAACCGGTAAATTAGCAGTTTAAAGGCAAATTGGATAGTTCCACCCACCCAATTGGACTCCCGGAGGTAGGGGTGTACATGAACAGTACCGGACCTGAAAACCGACCTGACCCGGACCTGTTGGGACCGGACCTAACCCGGACCTGTAGATTCAGGTCCGGTCCCGGTCCCGGTCCGAATCAGGTCCAAACCCGGGGTTTTCAGGTCTGGACCTGAAACCCGTTAAAAATACGTTTTTTATAAAAAAAAAAAAAAATCCCAAATTTCAAAAGAAGTCAGTTTCATTTTTGTTAACACACTAACCCTAACTCACTCCTCACTCACTCTCTCTCTCTCTCTCTCAGCCGACAAGCACACACGGCAACACCCACTCCCTCCAGACCACCGCCCAGGCGCCCAGACACAAGTCGGAAGTCGCCACCGCCCACCAGACGTCCAGACCAGCAGCGACTACACGCTGTACATCCTGCAACGACGAGTCGACGACTACACCCTGCATCTGCATCTCACTGTAAGTTCTTTTTTTTTTTAATTAAATCTAATTATATTTGAATTGGGTATTTTGTATTTCAATTGCTTATAATGATTGTTTGATGTTTGCATGTTTGTAAGTTCTGTTTTTTAGTTAATTTTTTTTCGAATTCATGATTTTTTTTGAGGTTTTTTTTATTTATTTTAAGTAACTGTTTTTGAAATATTTTAGTTCATTTGTTTCGAATGCATGTTGAATTTTGGTATCCTGTAAGTTCTTTTTTTTAAAAAAAAAATTAAATCTAATTATATTTGAATTGGGTATTTTGTATTTCAATTGCTTATTATGATTGTTTAATGTTTGCAAGTTCTGTTTTTTAGTTCATTTTTTTCGAATTCATGATTTTTTTTGAGGTTTTTTATTTATTTTAAGTAACTGTTTTTTAATTATTTTAGTTCATTTGTTTCGAATGCATGTTGAATTGTGGTTTCTTTCGATTTGTGTGTTTAAAATCTGTTTATTCTGTGAATTTGTTGGGAGTAGATTGATAAATCAGAAAAGATTGATAAATCTGTTTAAAGTAGATTGATAAATCTGTTTAAAATCCGTTTCTTTCGAATTTAGTTCATATTGTAGAATTTGCTGCCTTGCTGGTGTATTGTATATTTGTATGTATTCTGTTTATTTTGTGAATTCAATTTGAATTGTAATTGAATTCTATCGTTTTATATGTTTAGGATCAACAAGAACCACGGATTCTTACTCTTGCAATGTAAGTTGTTCTCACATTTTTTTATAAAATGTTATGTGTTTATAATTGTTACTTAAAAATTACTTATATTGTGTATAATTATATTGAAGATTGTGTATAATTATAGTGAAGATGGAGAGCTCTCAATCCAAAAGATCTGCTGCTTTTTCTCAAGAAATGTCACAGCCACTTTCTGAAAAAGGATATGGAAGAATTGCAATCTACTTTGCCTCCAGATAAGAAGTTAAAAGCGGGGCGGGAATACATATGGAACAGAAAAAGTAAGAGGATATGGAAGAAAATTTGAAAGAGTTACAAGAAATGGAGAAAGGTAGTATTAATTTTATGTACTTGTAATTTTGTTACACCAAATTTATTATTTCATTGTTATCATTCATTAATATATTCTATAATGTTTTTTTATTTAGAGGTGCAACATGATGTATCTAACGATGGAGATGATGAAGTTGTTTTCGTTGACTCATTAGTGTGAATCACGCAATCAAAGGGAAAGCAACTCGCCAAAATTCAAGTTGTCTTTGGATAATTTATGTATTTCTAGTATTTGAGACTCAGAGACTTTATGTAATTTAATGAATTATTTTTTATATTTGAGACTTATAGATTTTATGTAGTTTTTGTCATTGATATTTTCAGATTTTATGTAAACAGGTCTATAATCAGGTCCAACAGGTTATTTATTTTCTGTAAAAAAAAAAAACAAAAAAAAACACACAAAACAGGTCTGTTCAGGTCTGGACCTGACCCGGACCTGATTGCTCAGGTCTGGACCTGACCCGGACCTGCTGAATCAGGTCCGGTCCCCGGTCCTCAGAATTGGCTGATTCAGGTCCCGGTCCTAACAGGTCCGGTCCAGGTCCGGTCCGGTTTTGGACCGGTGTACAGCCCTACCCGGAGGGTAATAGGGACCACCGTAAAAATTTCGGCAATTTTTACTTTTGGGCGAAAAAAGTCAAAAAATTCCAAAATTGAAGGCTTATATCCACGTTTTTTGAGAAATTTTGGAAATTTTGAGCACGGTGTTGAAAAGCCTTGAGATTTTAGGGAATACATCTCGGGGTCATATAATGATGTTTGGAACCATATATGATCATTATATGTTGTTATAAATGTTTGTGGTAGGCTTGATTTAATGAAATTGGTGCAAGTTATAAACCCGTAAATAAGCCGTTTAAAGGCAAATTGGATGGTTCCACCCACCCAATTGAACTTCCGAAGGGTATTGATAGGTTGTCGTACACCTGTCAAAAATAAATTCCTAACAAAACCAACTAATAATGTAGTAGGGTAATTAGGGTCGAATCCACATGGAGATGAGATTTAATCTAACCTCTAAGAAATTGGAGAAACTAAACAAGTCACGAAATTCAGATAGAAAGGTAGTCTAAATTAAAATAAGAATAAAACAATTAATAAAAGACCTTGGGTTATGGTTCACCATGTTTATAGTTCTAAATATATCAAATATCAATAACAATCCAATCAATCAATTATCTACAGCAATTGTCAAGCATACGGTCGGACCTTAACGCTCTCAATTCAACAAATGCAGTACGGTCGCTAACATAATCAGAATTGCTAATTGTAGGGAAGCCTTTAAAAGTAAGTGTTGTCAACGAAATTTTGTTAATTATTAGGTGTCGGATATAAGTAAATAAGGAGATAATATAAAAAAATATAAGATATTATCTTCACGATCTCGTATAATATTTGATAGATATCTTGTTAACTACTCTACGACTCTCTATATAAAGAGGGTCGAATCGAATCTAGGGTTTGATTAGGCTCGGATGGAATAAGTCACAAAGACCCCATTTCCTCCCTACTACCAAACATTGTAGGTACATAGTATGGATTAAGTTGACAAGGCCCCGTACTATAAACAAATATTAAAATCCCAGCCCTTTGGAGAAAGGCATCAAGAGATCTACGAGAGTTGTAACCGACAAATTATCAATGAAATAATTGTTCCCGTATATTTTTCTACCTCTTTATTCATATATTACAGGTTTGAATTTTTATGGTTAACAAATTGGCACGCTCAGTGGGACAATTTTCGCTCTTCATCTCCAATCTTCAAGTTTCAAAACTCGTAGATTTAATGAGGGCATACCAAATCTGCTTTCAAATTCTACAAGAAAATTTCGAAACCAAGTAGCATCCGATATCAAATCTCCACAACAGGTTTCGAGGGCGGCATTTGACACTGTACTGAAATTTTGTTAATTATTAGGTGTCAAATATTTGTAAATAATAAGATAATATAAAAAAAATATAAGATATTATCTTCAAGATCTCGTAGAATATTTGATAGATATATTGTTTACTACTCTATGACCCTCTATATAAAGAGGGTCGTTTCTAGGATTTAATTAGGTTCAGATGGAATAAGTCACAAAAACCCCATCTCCTCCCTACTACAAGACCCCGTACGATTGAATGATTGTTTCGGAGGTCGATAAAATATAGGAATTCAAGGTTACCAATGATGATAAAAAAAAAAAAAAAAAAAAAAAAAAAAAATCTGCTACTCTACTATACCAATGATGAAAGTCAAAGTATTCTAGGCCATCAATGAGAAATTTCTAATACGGTGCACTGTAATTAAAGGAGGAAGTCTTATTGTCTAACAATGAGACATGTGCTGATCTGCATATCTCACAAGGGGGAAAAAGACCTCTTGGAGGAGCAGTGGCCCGAGTTCGTCTTGCATTTTTGAGGTGTGAGGTTCAATTCTCATTAGACATAAATTTCATTCCCTATCCCTTATGGGCATTGGCAGCCAGGCATCCTGTGATAGGAGCCTTCGGTTGGGGCTCAGTTGAACTTACCGTATAAAAAAAAAAAAAATCTCATAATGGGGTATTCTAATAATTTTACTATATATGTATTATTTTGGGTTGAGTTCGTTGAGGTGCGAGGTTCAATTCATATCAAGCACGAATCCCATCCCCTTACCACTTCCGGGCATTTGCCAGCCAGACATCCTATGAATCTGTGATAGTCTGATAGATGCCTTCGACTAAGTAATCTACTTATCTGAGACAAGATATTGACTCATGTTTATTTTTGATTTTTTCAATTATTACAATTATAAACCAGTTGGCAATAAAACAATAATTATCACCATTAATAGCTTTGAAAATGAAACCAGGTTATGGTTTTGTTGCCTACTGGTTCATAACTGTCATATTAATATGTTAAATTGTTAATCAATGATTTAATGGATTGTATGATGACTGGTTAGTGATTAATAGTAGTGATTTTCAATTATTACTTAAATGAGTCATTTTGTGATGATTATCCATTTAGTGATTGATTTTTTTATTAGTTTATCAAATATACAAATTAAATTTGAAAAAGATCTATGATACAACCCATAAGTTAATTAAGGAATCTGAATAGTAAGGGAAATGGGAAAACTGATATGAACAAAAATAGATTAAAGCGAAATTCTCAATGGTGACCTTCAACTTCTGTTATTGCTATGCACACATAAAGATGGCTCTGCGCCATGTCGGGTTGTGCTAGGATCACGTGCTTTGGGGTTAGATGGGCCCGACCCATGGCTCGATTCACAAGTTTTGTGTCGGATCGAAGTTTTCAAAAGGTTGGCTTGTGCACGGCCCAAGGCGACATGCCATCGTGTCGTGCTGGGCTTGTATGCCTAAGCATAATTGCATTGACTTTAGCATGCTTCGTCATGTCAGGTCTGGCTATGTCGTGCCTTATCGTGCTTCTTCCAAATAAAGGCGGCCCACGGCACGCACGACATCGTGTTGAATTGGTCATGCTTTTTTCGTGCCCGTACCATTCCTTTTTGTGTTGGGTCGTGTTGGGATTCGGCTCGGCCCGACCCAGTGCCATCTTTAAACACACATGGTTACCCTCTTGAAAATCAATTATAGAAAATGAACTTTTTTAAAGAATTTATCCTACTCAAAATCTTATTTATATAAAAGTTAGTTTAAGTTAAATATAGTTAAGTTTATTTCATAAAAAAAAAAAAAAAAAAAACTTACCCAAACACCAACCTAGCCACCCCTACCACCTCCACCGAAACCCTAACCCCACTATGCCTCTTTAGCCAAAACTTAAACCCAGTTAGTAGTCCACTAGTCCCTGCCACTACCCCGTTTTCGGCCCCCTCCCCTTCCCCCGTCCCGTTTTCGCCCCTACCTTCCCCCCTCACCCACCAATAGTTGGACCAAAAACACCCTCACCTTAGCCCCACCCGAACTGAAATCACTTTCAGATTTGGGTGGGTGGTGCTGAAACTGAAATAGGTTGCTGTTGACGGAGAGGTCAGAGAGTCAGAGGAGATAGAAAAGGAGGGTCGTGGGTTATGATGGGAGGAAGAGCGGTGGTCCAAGTCGCGTATGGTTTAGGGTCTGAAGGAGGTTTCGAGTCTGGGTCTGGTGGGGGTGTCGGTTTGGGGTAAGGATGAGGGTCAAGGTCGTAGTGGTGGTGGCTGGTTGAAGGTGAAGGTGGTTGCAACGTCGGTTGGTTGAAGGTGAAGGTGGTGGCGGCGGCTGGGTGGGCTTTTTTATTTTGTATTTTTTTCCATTTTTTAAAAAATCTAATCATAGTTTAATTTTTTACTTAAAAAAACACTCATTAATGTCATATTTGGGATAAAATTCTTAAATAAGGTCATTTGGTATAATTGACTTTCAAGAGGGTTATTATGTGTGCATAACAAAAGTTGGGAGTCACTATTGAGAATTCCCTTAGATTAAAAGAGAATTTCATTGTCAAGAACTCTGTAGTACTTTGTGATATCTTTTATAGACTTAAGTATTTGATTGAGCACTCCCGTAAAAAAAAATAAAAAAAAAATAAAAAAAAAACTTGATGGAGCACACTTTTGTAAATACGGAGAGCGTACTAGAATTATTATGGTATTTAATTATCACAAGAGTTTGTTATGTACATTCAGATGCACAAGAGTATATTGTTTGCTCATTTTAAAGATGATTACAATAATCAATAAAATGAGCAAATAATACTCTTAATTGCACCATACATCCATATATATAATAATTTTCAAATTCTTGTAACTTAACAACTTTTTGGTGCAGCAGGTCACACCATGCGACAGGGGTTACCCGAGTTTTTTTTGTTAGGAGTTATTTGAGTTTTTCAGTCAGTGGTTACTTGAGTTACTTGGTTAGGAGTTACTTGAGTTACTTGACCAGGGGTTACTTGAGGGGTTCGAACACAAGTTACTCGAGTTTCCCAATCAGCAGTTACTTGAATTTCTCGGTTAGGCTGCATACAAAAAATTGTGACTCGAGTAATTTCGGTAAATCAAGTTACCCATGACCGAAAAACTCGAGTAACTCTTGAC